AGTATATATTAGTACAGATTTCTCTAACCTATGGGGTACCTATGATAACCTATGGTAATACACCTACCCGGAAGAAGAGGATTGTTAGTAATGGGAACTCGTAATCCCCATTACCAGCAATGTACTATGTTAGGTCGACCTCCACGCGGTTCCTCCCGAAAACCATCGTGGTAAATTGTTAGTGAATTTCTCACGATGGGCTAACTGACCTGACCTCATGTTCATCTTATCATCCTCCACTGGTGCCCCGCCAGCGTAAACCGTTAGCACAGGCTGGTGCACCATTTCATTATCATACACAAAAAAAAAACTTACCACAAAGTAAAACGGTCTGTGATGAATTTCGATCGCCATGTTTATTTTGCCCCGCGATGCGCCATCGTTTAGTAAAAGCGGACCAGTCTCCTTGAACTTGGTAAATATCTAATTACTCGAATAACAGCCTCACAGTTACCTTGATTCGCTACTGTTTACCAAGTACCTATCAATATACGTAGTATTTGCAATATTTTTAACAGAATTCCGAAACGAAGTCTTATTTTTTATTTTTTTTTATTGGGTTGTTTGGGCTATTATCAGATGTGTAGCACCTGTAGCACTGCGACCTACATAGATCTATTGTGCTCGCCCTTTTCAAAGTTCGCTACCTAGACCCGTCAGGGACAAGAATTGAAGGATATTCTTAGGAGCGATGGTTTTTATCTCCTCGGGAAAGAGTGTAAACTTTCCAAAGGAGATATTTAGTTTATGCATGAGTGAGCTATAACCACATAGGATGTGAAGCGGCGTTTCCTCTTCAGTTTGGCAGAATCTGCAGATACTTGTCGTGCATAGGCCTAGTTTAGCCATATGCTTGTTTAATTTGCAGTGTCCTGTGAGGGCTCTAGTCATCATGCATATGTTGTTTTTACTCAATAGCAGTAGTCTATTGGAGTATTTGATCGAGTAGCCCGATAAACGAAGTCTTCATGACATATTGTTCATAGAAACAATCTTACTGATATTACAAACGCCAAAGTTTGTAAGTACAGATGTATAGATGTATGGATGTTTGTTACACTTTGATATAAAACTATTTTTTTTTATGGATGATAATGAAATGGTGCTCCGTCTGTGCTAACGGTTTACGCTGGCGGGGCACCAGTGGAGGATGATAAGATGAGCATGAGGTCAGGTCAGTTAGCCCAACGTGACAAATTCACCAGGAATTTATCACGATGGTTACCGGGGGTAACCGCGTGGAGGTCAACCTGACATGGTACATTGCTAGTAATTGGGGGATGAGTCCACATTACTAACAATCCCCTTCACCCCAATATAAAACTATTAGGTACTGATCAGATGTTGATAAAACTTTACAGTAATATAGTTTATATATCAGAATAACACATGTTATTATACATTTGATGCCGGTGAAAAAACTCAAAGGTGACTGACATAGTGATCTATCAACGCACAGCCCAAACCACTGAACGGATCGGGCTGAACTTTGGCATGCAGGTAGATGTTATGACGTAGGCATCCGCTAAGAAAGGATTTTAATTAATTCTTCACACAAGGGGATAAAATAGGGGATGAAAGTTTGTAAGAATCTTTGTCAATTTTAAACCGATCGGGCTGAGATATTGCATTCATAAAGCTACTATGACGTAGGCATTCCCTAAAAAAAGATTTTGATAAATTCCACCCCTAAGGGGATAAATTAACGCGAGCGGCGCCGCGGGCAGAAGCTAGTACATATCAATCAATATTTATTTAAAAGAGCAACACACATGTTATTGCACATTCTTCTTGTGATGAGTCTGCACTCCGAATGAGCGGTAGAATAAAAAAACTTGACTATTCAAAAGTGCTTATATTAAGTTTATTTCAATAATGATTAATATATTATATATTCTATATGTTTACATATACAGAGTGAGCAAAGGTGGACTTATCTCTAAGAGAGATCTCTACCAGTCAACCCAACAGTGTGGCATAGCTAGTTATTTCTATTATATTACAAATCAGACATATATAGAAATACTTGAGATAGTTATTTGCAGTGTTTCAATTCGAACGCACATCCACTATTTTATGTAACCCCCTTAAGGCATACAATATTCATCCCTTATTTTGTTACCCCCTTATACAGTTCCCCTGATGTTGCATTGATGGCGGTAATCACTTACCTTACCTTGCTCATTTGTCTCGTATGCTATAAAAAAATCACTGCAACGATTTTAGACTGTATGTAACATAATAAAACTCGTATGTAGAAAAACATTCTTTTTATTCAATAATCTTACATAATAGGATATTATTATATTAATTAAGGAATGATTTTGATATCACTTGAGTTTATTTTATCATAAAACACTCGTGTAATCTGATAACTAATTTCTTTCACTAGTTCTCCAGAGTGGAGAAGAAGGTTGTTTGTTCTTTATTGTTCATATTACAATATTAAACATTATTCTTACATATAATAGTAAAACATATAAGACCTAAATGTGACCTTAAATTATTAATAGAGACGATTCATAATACTTTGAATTAAAAATTGACAAAATGGTTTATTCTACACTAGCTACTGGCCCCGGCTTCGCTGGGGTGTACTACTATATGTATTGTACATATAAACTTACTTCACACTATCTATTGCTAAAAATGCAAATGAGTTGCGTAGTTTAAAAGATCTAAGCGAACAGACAGTCGAGCGATTATTTTATACAATGTAAAGATTTCTTGCCAATTAAAAATTATATTAATATAGTCATGTTGTACCATAGACACTGAATTTATATTTTTCTTTGTATTTGCAGACAAGTAGGCAAAGAACCACATTTTTTTTTAATTATTTTTGCTTGCATAAGTAACAAAATATATTGTTAATTATTATATTACTACAATATTTATAAGCCTTTATTAGTAAGTAGTGGTATGGTATGCTATGTATTGTACATATATTTTACTTTTTGTAAATCAGCTAAATATTTTAAACAGTTCCATGTAATTCAGATGGTATTCAGGTCATTTAATTTATAAAAGAGTAACGTTTTTTATAAAAGAGACAGTTAGTAATTATTTTAGTGAAATATATGTCCATTAAATTCTATTTTGATACAACAACACACTATTTCTTAATACATACTTTATTAATTTTATATTTTGCGTTTTAAGTAAACGCATATTATATTTAATGTTTAAGTAGATAATTAATATTAATTCCAATTGCTACAACACTATTTAAGTATCGTAAAAAGATGGCAACACTGGTAATGTCAAATTTGTGTTTTAGAGACAAAAACAAACTGTGAAAAATTAAGTAACTTAAGTTTAGATGTTAGTGCCTTATTTGGAGGATTATGAAAATAAAAAGAGAATAAAAAGTTACAAAAATGAAAATAAAATCACAAAAAACAATCCACGTGCAGCACTAATTCTTAAGTTAGACTAAGTTTTAAAATTGGAAAAAGATATTTTATATTGTTTGTTCCTAGCATAAGTTAGTATTAGTTATATAAATATATATACATTATTAAGAAGCTTAAATTCCGGGTGCAAAGGGGCCCCGAGGTCCCTACTTTCATCCCTCCAGGGAATTTGATGACCAGTGTCATATTCTGTTTTCGTAAAATATCACTTAGATTAAAATACCTAGAGTATTGTATCAGACTGCTCTGAAACATTAAAATAACAGGTGAAACATAGCGATACAAGCTACGCTTAGTGCAAAAACCGTTGTAATTATACACAAGTGATGTTTTTTCTTTTTGACTACTCTCAGACATTTACAGCTCTACCGGACGATAAGAACTAAGAAAGGACTTATGGACCGGCTGAAGGCCAGCTCCCGCCTGACAGATACGACTGTCTGAGGGCACCGTTAAGGGTTCGAACCTCCATTAGGCCGTCATAGTTTCGATCCCCGTTTGAATTGGACGGGGAATCGATCGAATGGGACAAATCACTTTGTTCACTATCTCTAATACATTAAGATCTATTTTTGTAAAGTATATACTTAATATAAATTGTTTTTCTTAAAATAAATATTATTATAAACATACCACATGTAAACTTATATAATTAAGGGGAGTCTATCCGCGCTATAAAATTATTATATAGGTATTCATCAGTAATCGTTCTATCTCTATTCAGAAACCTTGCGACTCCCCACACCCAAGCGAGATAGCAATACTTTCAATCAAAATTTTGCCGCAAATATATAAGTTTCTCTCTATTCGTGTTACTCAATTTTTACAATATATTATATATAATGGTATTTTTTTTATTATTCATAAAATTAACTATAATCTACATGTTTAAAAACCTGCATATTTAAAAAAATCGGATTACTCAAGCGAATGAGCTAAACATAGGTCTTTTTTCATGTGAATGAGCTAAATTTAGGCCTATTTCATGTGAATGAGCTAAATAAAGGTTTTATTTCATGTGAATGAACTAAACATAGGTCTTTTTTCATGCGAATGAGCTAAACATAGGTCTTTTTTCATGTGAATGAGCTAAACATAGATCTTTTTTCATGTGAATGAGCTAAATTTAGTCTTTTTTTCAGGCGAATTAGCTAAACATAGGACTTTTTTCATGTGAATGAGCTAAACATAGGTCTTTTTTCATGTGAATGAGCTAAACATAGGTCTTTTTTCATGTGAATGAGCTAAACATAGGTCTTTTTCCATGTGAATGAGCTAAATTTAGGCTATTTTTCATGCGAATGAGCTAAACATAGGTCATTCTTCATGTGAATGAGCTAAACATAGGTATTTTTTAGAAGAAATAGATTTTTTCAATTGCGTGTAATTCTAAAACATTCTAAAGAAAATCTGAGGAGTGTGAAATATTGATATTGCATGCATTATCCTACGGACAAAAATTAATTATAATTTTAATCTCTTGGACATATTTAATAATTCTCATATTTATTGTTAAACATAGCTCTTCTTTCGGTGAAAATTTAGTTTTTAAAACAGAATGTAATTTTAAAACAGATTTGTTTAAAGAAAATCTTAGTAATGTGAAACTTAATACCTTATCCTATGGACAAAATTTCAATGATTACTTATTGTATACAATTTTTATAATAACACGTTTTGTTTGGTTCTGTGAATTTTTTTTTAATATTCTGATGGTGCACATATTCGTGTCTGCAGCCTTAATATTGTTGTGATGATGCTATGTACAGTTAGAAGCCCGTTGCTGCCTCCACGCTGCGTGGAATCCAGCAGCTGAATCCGAATCAGAGTCACCGTCTTCGCTAGTGCCAATTTGAGCTCGTGGCTGAAAGAAAATTGCACACTTATAACTCCAGATGGAACGGTCAGAAATTAGTTTACGCCCTCGGCGGTCTAGGGTCCGTTCAAGTATTACGTAAGTAGATTTATTACAATTATTTACCCCCCATCCCTCTTGTCAGCAAAAGTAAGCAAAGCTTACCAACTCGCCCCATGATTACGTATTTTTCAATTAATGTATGGAAATGGAGATCTTTGGGGGAGGCCTATGTCCAGCAGTGGACGTCTTCCGGGCTGCGATGATGATGATGATGATGATATTGTTTTTTTAGGAAAGACAAGTGGGGGTTGCAATTTGCGTAAAAAAGTAAATAACCACCGATGACGTAATCATAATCTAGACTCCCCATGACATATGACATGGGGGTTGTCATCCATAATAAGCAAATCAAAGCAAAAAAAAAAAATAAAAAAATAAATGGGTCATTAAAACAATTTCAAAATTAAACTTATAAAATATTTATTAAAAAAAATTCTTTTACTCCGTAGACGAACTTTTTGATGACTGACTGTTACTGTGACTGTTATGTGTGTGTAATTTGGACATTATTACCATTTAGTGATTTTATTGTTAATTTTGACATTGTTGTTTTAGATTTAGATTTAATTTTGTATTTTGAAATTAGACACAATAATTATTCTTATGAAAAAAAAAAATAAAAAAAAAAAGTTTGTATAAATTTGACTCTTAATTTACACCATTTGAATTTACACCCAAATTGTCAAAATTCCACACGGACAAAGTCGCGGGTACAGCTTGTGCATTTATATCTTTATACATATCTGTATTGAGTTGCAACATCGATTTCGACAGTCTGTTATGGTATTGTAATATTGAAATATATATACTTAATTAGAAAATAATATTATAAAGAAAAAGTCGGAGTCGTATCGTATCAACAGCTAGGACTGATAATATGCATGTAATAAAAAACGGTTATTTCAATATTACAAACAGACACTCCAATTTTATTTATATGTATAGATAAAAAAATAATTTCACAGTTTTACAGGTCTCAAGGACCGCAGGACCTATCGTCGTGGAGATCTTTGGGGGAGGCCTATCTCCAGCAGTGGACGTCTTCCGGGCTGCGATGATGATGATGATGATGATGATGACAGGTCTCAAGCACAAGTAATAGCCCTTAATAAAATTAAAAAGAAGGCTATAACAAACCTGATCGGGAGTTGAAGGCGTACTCCTACTGTGTGATGCGACTCCCCTACGTCCGCTGGCGGCCCGGCGCCGTACTTTACTGCTCATCGGCGGTGGCATCAGTTTATCATCATTCTGAAATAACATCGATATAATTTATACTAATATTATTAAACGGAAGAGTTTGTGTGTATGTTTGAACGTGCTAATCTAAGGAACTACCTGTTCAAATTGAAAAATTCTTTTTGTATTGCATAGTTCATTTGTCGAGGCTTTAAACTATATATCCGTCATACTCGTGAACGGGTGCTGCTTGTAGGGACTGGTCTGCTCTAATCACTATGACTGATTTCCTCTTATTCATTGTTTAACCAGTTGGTTATGTATTCAATATTTTTTCTTTTTGAGTATTTAATTGAATTAGTGCTAATCGGTGGTTTGTATTCACACACTTAAACTTAAATTGTAAGTAAGAATAAATTATTTAAAAGAGCAACACACAAGTTTCTTGCTTGTTCTTCTTGTGATGAGACAGCATTCCGAATGAGCGGTAGATTAAAAAAAAAATGTTATGACTATTCAAAAGTGCTTCAATGTAAGTTTATTTGAATAAATGATTTTCTATTCTATTCTATTCTATTCTATATAAAATTACGCTACGATCAATAGGAGTGGAGCTGCAGTGAAAACTATTGCAAAAGGTGGGGAAACGCAGGCGAAGTTGGGCGGGTCAGCTAGTATAACAATATAGAAGGGATTGCGACTGTTAGTAATGAGGGTAGTCTTATTGCTAACAATATAGCATGTCAGATCGAAACAGGCCACTGTCCTTTAAACAAACATTTGTGCAAAATAGGTGCTACTGAAATTCCCCTTTGTCGGAGCTGCTTTGAAGCCGAAGAAACGGCTGCTCACGTAATCCTGGAGTGCTTGCAGTGGCCACACAACGAAAACAAACCCTCGGAACGGTGAGGTCGCTCCGTGAAGCTCCGTGAAGACATCAGGCGACTTCTGCTCTTTTAGGAGGAGCTTGGCCCAGATGAGAGACTAATCGCGGAGTATAGAGTCCAACTTACATTACAGGTCGACCTCCACGCGGTTCCCCCAGAAAACCATCATGGTAAATTCAAATTCAAAATATCTTTATTCATGTAGGTCTATTACAGACTCTTATGTTATGTCAAATCTACGAATCTATCTGTCGAAATTTCCGTACAATGCGGCATGTGTTGAGAATGACGACTTTTTGTATCAGGTCTATTGTAGAGGAGGGGATCTGCAACGTGTCTACGTGTTTGATAAGACTTTTTTTTATATATATATCTCCCTTTGATGGAGTATCAAACTTGTCATTGCGGGTGAATAACAAACAATGACAATTATAAAAAAAATGATTATTATGACAAAAATTTGCGGACTATTCTACAGGTGTTAAGAATTACAGCTTTTTGGAGAAGTATGAAAGTAAGTGGGTGAAGCTGTAATATTTTGAGGCTAGAGTGTAAGGATGCTGGAAGGACATCTGTGGGCGAGATAATAATTGGGAGAGATTTCACTGTTTCTACCTGCCATTGCAGTTTTTGTTCTTTTGCTAGATCAGTATACTTAATATTTTTTTCTGTATGTGTTGATAGAAGATTATGTGTATTTGGTATTGCAATATCTATAAGGTAAACTATTTCATATTATTATTATTATTGTAGTATAAATAAATGATCTTTTAATTTGAATATTATATGATACTTCATACTATATTATATTCTTATATACTTGGTTTGTGAACTGTCGACAACAACGAAACCTACTGGTTTCGTTGTTGTCGATCGTTCACAAACCAAGTTTATAATATTTATATTATAGACTTATAAATTACATTTCAAATAACCTGTATATTGTCTGCAGAGCCCCACGTCTTGTGTAGTTCGCCATCGTCCGATCGTCTGTCCTCTCGATCTTTACCCGACTTGGCCACGTATGCTGAAGACCTGGGTGTGCCGACGCCCAGGAAATTGCTGAACGCTTCTGTAGTTCTCTTGACTCGTACATTCAGCGAGCCGATACGCAGAAAGCTTTCTTTTTCTAAAAAATCAATGTAATTATTTATTAAAACATAGATATATAAAATGATATACCTTCCGATGTCTGTACGTTTAGATTTTAAACTACTGAACAACTGTTGTTAAATTTGATTCTATGGGAAGGTTTATATATATAATACATGTAAACACGTGCGAAGGCAGGGCGTGTAACTAACTATTAAGTATTATAAATTATTTTGATTTATAAGAGATTATAATATATATATTGTTTATTTATAAATCTTTAATTACAGAAACCAATTGTATATTCATAATATTAGCTGATATCAATAGCTTAGGGGCTGTTCAAGTATTACGTAAGCAGATTTATCACAATTATTTACCCCCCATCCCCCGTTGTCAGCAAAAGTAAGCAAAGCACTTACCCCCTCCACCCATGCTTACGTAAACATTTCTTAATTAATGTATTGTTTTTTTAGCAAAGACAATGTGAGGGTTGCCATTCGTGTAAAAAAGTAAATTACGACCGATGACGTAATCATCATACAGACTCCCCCACCCCCATGTCATCCAAAATAAGCAAAGAAAATACCCCCCGCCCCCCTATAGTGCTTACGTAATACTTGAACGGCCCCTTATACGAATTGATCTGATCTGATAACTATGTATGATTTATTTTGTGCATTCAAGTAACTTATATATCCAATAATAGAATAGAATAGAAGTTATGTATTATACAAGTAACTGTTTATTTATTTGTCAACTTTGCTATTTGACAGTTTGTATTCATACGGAATTCTGAAAAATGTAATTCTGAACAACATTTCTCTCTCTCATTCTTCTTGTGATGATTTGCGTTCCGAATGAGTGGTAGATTGTATACAATAAAATTGGAGTGTCTGTTTGTAATATTGAAATAACCGTTTTTTGCTACATGCATATGTATATAAATACGGTATACACACCAAAATAACATTTTTTACAATCTTTGTCTGTCTGTCTGTTTGTTCCGGCTAATCTCTGAAATGACTGGACCGATTTTGACGGGACTTTTTTGGCAGGTATCTGATGTAATATATTTAACAAATATCCAATCTGAATACTGAACTGGACGGTAGGGAAAAATACGTTACGTTCATAAGCGGCTAAAATGACCTGCATGAATAAATGATTATTGAATTTTAATTTGAATAAGTTGAATTGCTATTTGCCACGATGTGCTAACTGATCTGACTTTATACTCATCTTATAATCCTCCACTGGAGCCCTGCCACCGTAAACTGTTAGCACAGGTGCGTGCATCATTTCATTTAGACGTAACATGATAAAAGATATGTCTCACATTCCTGTAACTTCACAGGCCTATCGATCAATCGAAACACAACATACAAAGCAATCTTCAAATGACACCAAGGTTGTGAGTATGTATGTAACATTTTTTTATGCAACGTTGGTGGCATATAGTCATACGGGCCATCTGATAAACGTTTATCCTACAAACTCATGAAACACCAGGGCTGTCACGTTTGTGTTGAAACTTAAGAAACTTTCCAGAAGAAATCTTGTTGTTTTGAAAATTGTTTCTTTATACTACGATGGTGGTAAACAAGCATACGTCCCATCTGATGGTAAATGGTTACATAGTCTATGGACGTCTGAGATACCAGGTACATGTTGCCAACCCTTAAGAAACCTTAATATATCCTGTTTGAAAAACCCCATGCTGTAGTCTCTCGAGAAAACCTCGACAGGTAGTTCATTTTACAATCTAAGTGTACGCGGGAGGAAGCTCCTCTGAAACCGCACTGTCCGAGACCACTTACAACATGTAATATTAATTAGAATATGACAATAAACAATAAGCACATATTTAAATGACGAGCTCGATGGTTTAGCGGTTTAGAACACCGCTTTACAACCGATGGTCGCGGGTTCGATTCCTCGCACGTTGCAAACATTTATATTCGTGAGTATGAGTGTTTGTATCGGTCTGAGTGTTTTTTATGTATATTATGTATGTATTGACAAAAAAAGTATTTCTATTAATTGTCTAGTACCCATAAGATAAGCTCTGCTTACTGTGGGACTAGATGGCGCTATGTTAATAGTCTAATAGTTAAAAAAAATCCTATTCGCCTATCGGGTACTGCTTTTATATGGCAATCCCGGACGGCGCAGTGTTAATTGTCCAGGGTTATTTAAAAAAAATATCTGTATTAGCTTATTGCATATATATATATTTATATGGCAACACTGGTATGCCTTATAAAATAAACACATTGGCAACATTTTTTAAAATCTATCCTAAGGTCATGAATAATGCATTATTAAAAAAAATCCCAATAAAATAACAATACAAGACATACACAAGTGACAACACCATACGCACCCCTCATTTGCCATGAGCTGCACCGCCATCCAACATCCGTGTTTATTGGCTACGGTGTTGCTAGTAAGAAAATCAGTTTTCCGATGCGATTCGACAAAGTCCTTTTTTCTAAAGGACATTACATCACCACTAGATCTTTGTATGCGTCTTCACTTTGTATGATCATCATCATCTCTTACGTGCATGTGCAATTTTATTCAAGTGCTACTATATTCCTGAAGTCCTTATACCAGAGGTGAGCAACTTTCTACATCAACGGGCCAATTTAATTTTTTATTTCTTTTAGCGGGCCGTACATAAAGTGACTATTATAAATTACAATACTTATAATGAATATTTTACAAAACTTTATTTATAATAAACATTACAATAAAAATATAAAAACTAATGATTTCATATACAAATTTTGATGCAAAATGAAATCTCGCGCAAACGCGGCGAGTTCGTATTACGTTGTGAACAAGACACGTGATGAAAGAAAATGAAATTAAGGAAATTGTATCGGTTTAGTATGTACTACCATTTATTATATTATATTGACGGCCTCGGTGGTCTAGCGGTTTACCACACCGCTTTACGTCCGATGGTCGCGGGTTCGATTCCTCGCACGGCACAAACATTTGTATTCATGAGTATGATTGTTTGTATCGCTCTGGGTATTTTCTATGTATAATATGTATGTATTTACGAAAAAAAAAACTATGTATTTGTATCAGTTGTCTAGTACCCATAACACAAGCTTTAGCTAGCTTAACTTGAGTCTAGATGGCGCTGTGTGAATTGTCCTGAGATTATTATTATTATTATTCTTTATTTTTTCTCAGCTATTGCTGGTTTTCTCCACACTTACGGGCCGAAACCAAGTAAGTGCAGAGTGTGTGTATGTGTGTGTGCGCGTGTATGTATGTGTGAGTGTGTGTGTACTTATTGTGTGCCTGGTGTGACTGGTGTTATATCATTTTCATCGATTTATTATTATTATTATTATTATTATATTTAATTTAGAACAATATATTGATGGTAAAAAGCCGAAAAATGAATTCAATTTTAGAAACGCGTGGCTGGCCACATGTACTAGTTTAATGGGCCGCATGCGGCCCGCGGGCCGCGTGTTGCTCATCTCTGCCTTAAACTATTATACATTCTATAATTTTACAAACACATGTTAATACACAAAAACAAAGTGTGTGATTTTGTAACAACTGTGTAATACTAAATATTATACACTGGTGTTATATATATACTAGCTGTGCTCGCGACTTTGTCCGCGTGGAATAGACGACGAAATATGAATTTTCATACAAACTTTCATCCCCTGTTTTATTTCACCCCTTTAAGGGTAAAGTTTGTACAAAATTATATATATATACTAGCTGTGCCTGCGACTTTGTCCGCGTGGAATAGGCGACGAAATATGAATTTTCATACAAACTTTCATCCCCTGTTTTATTTCACCCCTTTAAGGGTAAAGTTTGTACAAAATTATATATATATACTAGCTGTGCCCGCGACTTTGTCCGCGTGGAATAGACGACGAATTATGAATTTTCATACAAACTTTCATCCCCTGTTTTATTTCACCCCCTTAAGGATAAAGTTTGTACAAAATTCTATATATATACCAGCTGTGCCCGCGACTTTGTCCGCGTGGAATAGACGACGAATCATGAATTTTCATACAAACTTTCATCCCCTGTTTTATTTCACCCCCTTAAGGATAAAGTTTGTACAAAATTATATATATTTACTAGCTGTGCCCGCGACTTTGTCCGCGTGGAATAGACGACGAATCATGAATTTTCATACAAACTTTCATCCCCTGTTTTATTTCACCGGGTAAAGTTTGTACAAAATTTGATTGTTATATTTATTTCTATTTAATCAACGGCTTAAAAAATAAAGCCCTAACTTGTAGCTTTAAAAATGACAATATTTCCAACGAAACATTGGTCTCTCCTTTCAACCCATTAAAACCCTTTTTTCGGATTAAAAAGTAGTCTATGTCCTTTCTCAGTATCTAGAGTATTTGTGTACCAAATTTCATTTAAATCATTTCAGTATTATAGTATTAGTAAAGATATATATTTATGTATATAATAGTAGTATGATACAGTGCGATATGTACAGTCATTTATATTTTTTATATTACTTCATAAACATATCTATTACTTTACATATATATTTACATAGTAGAAAATGAACTTCAGCTGTTCACTTAGATATATTAAAATACGCAACACAGTTCAATGCAATTGTTAGCAATAGATAGTGATTTAAGAGAAAGGTTTATATGTATAATACGTGTACAGTCGTGTGAAACTGCGTGGGTGGCTAGTCCTAAATATAATAAATAAACTATATATAAAGATCCTAATACTAAATAAATATAGCAAATGCAACTTAGCTGGAGACAGAAGTTGTACTAGTTTAAATATTGCATGAAAATCATATTTTCTCAATTCATCTTTATTGATTTGAATATATACCTACAAAGACCAAATTCTTTATAATATACATAAAATAGTAATATATATATCTATAGTACAGCCTCGGTGGTCCAGTGGTTTAGCACACCGCTTTACTATCCGAGGGTCGTGGGTTCGATTCCTCGCACGGTACAAACATTTGTATTCATGACTATGTTTGTATCGGTCTGGGTGTTTTCGATGTATAATATGTATTTATTAACAAAAAAAAAATGTATCCATGTATTTATCAGTTGTCTAGTACCCATAACACAAGCTCTACTTAGCTTAGGACTAGATGGCGCTGTGTGAATTGTCCTGAGATATTATTATTACATTATTATAGTACGTAATGAAAATTCATTAAAAATAAACAGTTATATAAATACATTATAGTGAGTTTTAGAAATTAGCTACCACCTAATTAATTAATTTATTGACATCAAAACTATGCGAGCCTTACAGCTTCCCAATATGCTCAATTAGCAAAAATTATACAAAAATATGATATATTAATAATTAAAAAAAAAAAATATATATATATTAAAACAATAACAACCTACAATGTTACAGATTACATAGGTAATCCTTTGCCATTCTGTCAAACTTCAACAAGTCAAATAAATATATCCAGCTCTGGATATCGGTTACCGACACCGTTGAGTAGACTCAATGCAAGAGTAATGAGCTGTCTGTTCTTATGTATGCTTAAATCTTTAAAATCCGCAACGGATTTTGAATCGGTTTTTTTAATAGATAGAGTGATTCAAGAGGAATGTTTAATATATAATACATGTACACTCGGGCGAAGCCGGGGCGAGGAGCTAGTATATATATGAATACAATATATTAATATACAACCAATAAGCTTACAAGTGTGAAATCAAATAAGAGTGCACGTGTGGGAAGAATTATTACTTTCAGATACAAGACAGGTGATTTTTTTGTAATATCTTACTTGTTACATTATTCATTGTTATTGGAGATATTCGTATATCCGGTGGGGCTGTATCGGGACGCTGATTGTCAATATTATCAGCCTCTGTAATATAATCTCATTTAAAGTAATAACCTTAATACAACGAATCCCAAAATAACGATTAATCGATGTAACGAACCCCAAAATAACGATTTCCTCGATTTAACAAAGCCCCTTGAATTGCTTAGTAATTAATTGGGGAAAAGATTTAATGTTCAATATATCTTTACATTGTGATCTTTTTTGTTAACAACATTTTAAAGACTGTAAATTTGATATAACGAAACCCAAAACAACGATTTTCTCGATTTAATAAATCCCCTTGAATTGGTCATAAGAGTCAATATTAAATATAACCTTACATTGTGATCTTTTTAGCAAACAACATTTTAAAAACTGTAAATTTGATATAACGAAACCTAAAACAACGATTTACTCCATTTAACAAATCCCCTTGAATTGCTTTGTAATCCCCTTGAATCGATCATAGCACTTAATGTTAGATATACCTTCACATTGTGAACTGTTTTTTGTGAGCAACCTCTTCAATAAAGTGCAAACTTAACATAACCAACCCCAAAATAACGATTTTGTCGATTTAACAAACTCTTCGTAATCCCCTTTAATTGTTCATAATAGTTAATATTATAAACGCGAAAGTTTGTGAGTAAGAATGAATGTTTGTTAATCTTTCACGCAAAAACTACTGAACGGGTGTTGATGTAAGTTTACAGTAATATAGTTTATAATTTCACGCGAATAAAACCGCGGGTACAGCTAGTGTTAAATATACCTTTACCTTCATATAACGAACCCGAAAATAACGATTTTCTCGATTTAACGAACTCTGCGTAATCCCTTTGAATCGGTCATAATAGTTAATTTTAAATATTACTTTACAACTTTTTTCGAGAACAACAACAAATACAGCGCAACCTTGAAGTAACGAACCCCAAAATAACGATTTCCTCGATTTAACTAATCTTCATAATCCCCTTGAATTGCCAAAGATTTATGTTAAAATTTCCTTTACATTGTGAACTCTTTTCGCGATTAACCTCTTAAATACAACGCAACCTTGATATAACAAACCCCAAATTAATGATTGTACGAGTCAAATCTTTCGATCTTTTTATAATGAATTTTCAACTATACAAAAAATGTAATATTTTATAATTATTCAATGTAATCAACCCTTTATATAACGTTCCTACCAATAAACGACCGTTAAACCTAAGTATGATTATTCACATAGTTATTAAGGGTCATTTATTACAAGTTCTAGTTTTTAAATAAGGTTAGTCGACATCACAGAAGACCGAAGAGCTGGCAGCTACCTCGGATAACGAATTATACTAGCTATTCAAAGAGGGAACGCTGCCAGTATCTCCGGAACCTTGCCTAAAGGGCCTTTTAATAACATATTTTAATTATTATATTATATTTTCTAAAGTTTTTAAATTTAGATATTTAGTTGTACAATTAAGATATGTAAATACATTATCTAAATAAATACAGTAATTTAACAAAAATGTGATTTTATTTATTAGTAGAAGTTATTTTTTAATAAAGTGAGTACTTAATGTTGAAGTAAATAAAACTACAGAGCAACCACGTTATAACAAATAATAGACTAACCTTTTAGTGTAATTACATTACCTTTCTAAACACATTGACAAAAATATATAACTCGATCCGACCAAATAGGGTTACCATAGTAATACAATATATATATAAATGCTATATATTTAATAAAAATTAAAAGTAAAATACAAACAAGAATAAATACATGAATAAATTATTTTTGACTTGATTTGATTTGAATAGTATAGTAGAATTATAGGTAATAATACATAATTAATACATTTGTATGTAAAAAAAAACAAATAATACATAATCTTTACTAAAACTAGTTAAGTTAAAATATTAAAACATTCGATTGACTAGTTTTATGATCCAATTACAGAATATAGATTTGAAACCGATCTTAACACCTCCCAAAAAAAAATTTGTTCATTAGATAAGATGGATATTATAAATGTCCACATATATATGTCTGAAATTGCGACCACAATTAGTTTTACTATAATTATAAGTAATCTTTATGTAAAAAAAAAACACGTCGCCGCTGTCCATTCGTTTATATCTTTTAAATTTCTCAACGGATTTTAATGCAGTTCTCAGCAATAGATAGAGTGATTCAAGAGGAAGTTTTATATGTATAATACATGCGTGTTATAGTATAGAACAAGCCGAAAACTTCAAAGATTTGCAATGCACCCGTGCGACGCCGGGATGGCTCGCAAATACATTATAAAATATATCTAATGAAAAGAGCTGCCAATATAATATATATATAATAATAATTATCAAGAAACTTGATATTATTGCGACTGGACTTAAAAATTAATTATTTAAAATTATAATTTATATATTTATGGCGACTGGGAATTACAAATTAATTATATTAAATTGTGATTTATATATCATATATATAAACATATATACATGTATTATATATGTAAACCTTCCTCTTGAATTACTCTATCTATTAAATAAACCGCTTCAAAATCCGTTGCGTAGTTTTAAAGATTTAAGCTTACGTAGATACAGACAGCGACAGCGACTTTGTTTTATACTATAATAATGATGTTAATTTGCTATAAATTTAAGAATCCACTTATATATTATGTTTTGTAATTATTTTTCTGGTTTACACATATGCTGTGAACATTTAATTTAAAAATTTAATTATTTTTAGGCTATGATATCTGATAAGTTTAAGACTTTCCAGAAAGCGATTATATTAGACTTATTATTTAAAATATAATTATGTACATTATTTAATAAGTTACATACTGCGGTAAGAGCCAGGTGACAAACATGTGTCCATATGTCCTGAATATTGCTTGGGTTTTCTTCCTGACCAATCACGAATATTTGGGTCAGCATCTGAAATCATCATATGACAGTAAAATTAACAAAAGATTAATAAACAAAAGAGCCGAGTGTGTTTTTAATACACTTGAGAGTGAACAGAATAAATAATTACGATACTATAGTTTGGTCAAATAGTGCAGTGTAATATAACTTCAGTATTTGCGTTTATAACGCATGCGTATTTGAAGTGCTGCTTTAAATGGAGCAATCCAGTCAAATAGATGCAGCCTGGAAAACTATATTTCTGATTATGCGCCATCTGTTGGTGTAGATAGAAATTATTAAGCATTGACTAATCATGTTAATTTTTATATTAAAGATTGTGCAATCGAGATAACCTATCAGCAATTATAAACAAACACAGTCAGCTCTAGAAATTATTACATAAAATTCCAGTACTAAAGTGTAAATAATATCTGAAAATCAAATTTAAAATATCGTTATTCATGTAGGTCTACTACAGACTCTCACAACATATCAAATCTACCGTCAGTTCGGAATGATTTCGAGACGAGAAGAACTGACAAGAAACCTAACTCGTATATTTTACAAATAAATGTTGTACATGTTTACAATAACACAGATTCATTAGCATCCAATTTGACTGACCACCAGCATGTGCTATTGCAAAAGCAAAGTCAAATTAGTGTCCGTAAACTGAACAGAGCAGTTCCCACGAGCAGCAAATGTCTCTTCAACTTGATAGATTTAATATTTATCGAGGGGTGGTGCTACTGTATTGGCCATAAACTTAAACCGAACTCCTACAGAGGGCGGTAGTGTATGATTAAGAACTTTTAACAGTTGGTAACGAGTTTTAAGTGACTAGTGACTGCTGGCGACTCTGTCCATGCGAGCCGCTAATTCCTTCCGGGAATACGCTGTCTAGAACCTAACTTTTACATATGAGTACTTTCTAGAAGTTTCCCTGCAAAAGATTGCATGGGAACTGTGAAGTTATCGCTTTTGTAATGCATTTTTAACTTACGTAGTTTCCGCACTGTTCTCTTTGCGATATATACGTATTGATAAAGTATTGAGATATAAAATATTATTATTTTATTTATTTTATCCTTTATTGCACTATTTAAAATTATGCACAATTGGCGAGCTTAATGCCATATGAATAGAATAGAATAGAAAATCATTTATTCAAATAAACTTAATTTAAGCACTTTTGAATAGTCATAACAATTTGTTTTTTATCTACCACTCGTTCGGAAAGGTGTCTCATCACAAGAAGAACGAGCAAGAAACTAAACTAAGCTAACCATTGGTATGGGTAGAAATAGAAAGCGGATGGGTAGTAATGGGAAAAGTCATACTATACGGCAGCATAGTGGATATGCGGAAGTATATAACCGTACAATACTTGAGCGACTCCAAAATATGTCCATACGATTCATATTTGGTCTCCGTAAGTATGACCACATTTCCAATTTTCGCAATCAACTCAAGTGGCTTCCTATTCGTCTTCGCAGGAATTTTCACATACTATGCCTTCTTTACACCATTCTTTTCCATCCCTCTACTCTAGAATATCTAAAAACTATTTTTTTATTTCACTCTAAATCCCCCGGTTCTGCTTTGCGTAGCACCAGAAGCCTTTGTCTGACGATCCCTGCTCACTCCTCTACTTATTATTCCAACTCTTTCACTGTCCAAGCCATTCGCCTTTGGAACTCTCTACCACTCTCCATTCGATCGGCTCAATCTCTTGCAATATTTAAAAATCGTCTAAGGCCTCATTATCTGTCCCTATAGCAAATTTTTTTTTTTCCTATGTAACTCTGAAATCTTCCAATATGTTGAATATATGTATGTATGTCTATTAATTCGTTTGATAATTATAGTGTCTTGTGTGTGCCATGTACCTCTTCTGTGTATGTTAGTCCTATTTTGCAGGTTGTCTGTAAGAAATTGCTTATAGCGATACGACCGCCTTTTGATCTTAAATTTCTATTTGTTTTTTTTTTTTGTTGTATTTTTTCTATGTGCACAATAAAGAGTTTATTATTATTACAATAAGTAATTTAATGGAAGAAGAGAGAAAGAATTTAAATCGATGAAGAGCACGCAGAATGCCTGTAACCCTGAAACCTCAACCATATGGAAATGCCAATTAAGTGTTGAATCAATTGACCGGCCCAGATTATTTATATAAGTTAATGCACAAAATACCAAGGTAAATACCAATAGTACATATAGCGGACATAATTTAGTATGATGCAGGCAAAGATGCGCGGGTTAGTTAGTATGTTATACATTTCACGAGTGTGAATCCGCGGGCAAAGGTAGTAAGATATGAAAAAAATATTTACCATATGTGTCAACTAGGAGAGTATAGACGTTTTCATGACGAAACTGCTTCGCGATGTGTAAAGGAGTATATCCCTGAAATAATAGATTTTTTAATTAATATAATAGAATAGTAAAATATCAAATTAAACCATGATGCGACCAGTTTACATGAAAATAAGAACGCAAATACGTGAATAATGATATTCAGAAAGAAATCTTGATTTAAGTTGACGGCAAACAGAGGAAAAAATTAAAAATAGAGTTTGACACACGCCTTCTTTTAAAATATCTCAATAACGGTAAGTAATAAGAAAAATTGTTTTAAATAAAAGTTGTAGAGAAAAAAATTCCGCACAAAAAAGGTCTTCTTCATTTTTTCATTATCTGCTGTTGTTTAGCCACAAAAGATGAAATCTGATGGACGCAGCCACTTGCAATGGCTTTACTTTGTACTGACTTATAATATTTTTCTACGCATAGATTTATTACTTATAATATATTCTACGTATATATAATGCCTTTATTATATACAAAATATCTGTCAAATATTCACTGATATTATAATAAAAAAATTATAAAAGTTTTTTAAGTTCTGTATTAATATTTTATCTTCTTTTTATTCATATGTTCCGGTAGTTTGTTATATACATATATATATATATATACCCCAAACTAAGTTTGGAGTTGGAACCATCTGATATATAATCTATTCTATAGAATAATTTAGTTTTACATCTTGTTTTTTTTATTATAATTAGGATATTTGCGAACAAATTTACATACTTCCAATATATAAGCACATAGAAGAGCTGGAACTTTATTATTGATAAAATAATCATAGTATCCTATTTATTTAAACAAAAAAAATATGTTAATGTACCATACAGGTATGCAAAGATCTGGCCATCTGTTACATCCCCGCTCCACATATTGCTAGTTTGGTTTCAAATATTTATATTCAATATTATCCGAGATATTAAACTTTGCTGGATATTGCTGAATATATACAGTTCTGGCAGATGTTCGAATACGAACATATAGTAAATTTAATATTGTAGTGGGTGTTACAATTGAGAGTAGATAGCTGTATTGTACTAGTTATGAACGAGCGCTCGCAGTTTATCGGCCTCAGTGTTTTAGCGGTTTAGAACACTCTCTCTATTTCTGACGGTCGCTGGTTCGATTCCTCATACAGTATAGCTATCTATCACCATCGCATCATTCGCTATTGATAGGTGATTTGTCCCGACACGCTGGAAAGTATGGAATCTTGAACCGTGCAGTTTCAGAGGAGCTTCCTTCCACGTACACTGGAATGAACTATCTTCTGTAGGGAACGAGATTGTTAGTAATATAGACTAATAAACACTTGCTGGCAATGTACCATGTCGGGTTGGTCTCCACGGCGTTTCCCTGGAAAACTGCCATTTGCTAGGATGGGCTCAGTGATCTGATTTCATACTGATGTCTCTGATGAAACCTAGCAGGTAGTTCATTCTACATTCTACGTTTACGCGCTCCTCTAAAACTGCATTCTTACAGACCACGTAGTTTCTAGTGTGTGGAGATGAATTCCCTGTCGTGACAATTGAATCAAACTACAATAACCTTCCTTCCAATCGAACCCCCATCTAATTCAAACGGGGAACGAAATTACGACGGCCTGTGCCGAGGTTCAAACCTCTAGTGGTGTACTCAGACTAAAGTCGTATCCGTCAGGCGGGAGTTGGCCTTCAGCCGCTCCATAAATCCTTGGTTTGGAGTGCCATCTGCACATCGCAGTGCCTGCGGCCATCAATTTTAGAGTAGTAAAAAAACTTCAATAACCATTTTAAACTTTGACGTACTTTCAAGTAAAATATAAAATACTTTAATATAAAAAAAAGGTACAAGATAATGTACTAATAATGTAAATCTTAAGCGGTGTAGATAGCTCATAAAACTACAATATAGCGAGTAAAGATCGCTAAAAGAGGACGTGACGTTACCAACCCTAGTCTACAAGCAGTGAGAGAGCTATAAATTCACAGACTTACCCCATTCTGCACCCGTCGATCGACCACATGAAAAAGAAAGTAATGACAATTTAATGACAGCGTCAAACAGGCAAAATAAAAGGCAAGTAAATTTGATTGGACGTAAAAGCTTCTGGGTAACAGTAAAAACTGAGATTACCCTTTGCTTTTATTGCTTTAGCAGTAAATACTTGAGTTACAGCTATTTAAAAACAATATAACAAATATAATTTCTTTTAATCTGATTATTAGGACATCATTAACGAAATAAACATGTTTATAAAACAATGTAATTAAGTATCGTGTATGTTTATAGCATAGGGGACAAATCAGTTTGCGGTTCACTTTACCATCAGGTGAACCGCACCCGTGACACCAGGGGAACTGCAAGTGCGTTACTGGCCTTTTAAGAAGGAACAAGCTCTTTTCCTGAAGGCTTTGATATCGTATCGGTTATATAAATAAAAATAAAAAATATGAATAATCATTCAATAAAAAAAACTGAGCCGCCCATGATCACCAGTGGAATTGCAAGTGCGTTGCTGGCCTTTTAAGAAGGAACAAGCTCTTTTCTTAAAGTTTTCAATATCCTATAGGTTTTGTAATTAAAAAAAAAAAAATTGTTGTACTTTTTAAATCGCATTTATAATCCGTCCAATCGTTTAGTAGCTACTGACAGAAAAAGGTCTAAAGCTCTGATTTTCGTATGCCTTTTTCAAATCACTCCAGCATCTTTGCTGGGTATACAATTCCGTACATGAGTTAAGGAAGGGCCGTCTAACGTCTAACACATTTAGAACAGGGCTTTCCGATCTTGTCGGATTTTTGTCGCTTCTGGTACAACAACCACTTCGGGATACCCTAGTATTGTCTTCCAAATATCTTTATGTTATAAATAATTACTCATTTTAAATTTACATAATGAGTCCCTTTTTATTACAGATATATATTGCATTACTTACACCGGAACTCGAAATTCCTCGTGTGGTACTACCATCATTAATATTAAATATTATTTTGTAAAAATATATAACAAATATCCCTATAGTTATAATTTTTTTGTTAGAGCATTATTGCTGGATAACGTGCTAGAAAGATCGTAACTATTGAAGTTACGATTATGATTTTTCTAACAGGAAACCATCGTGATAAATTTCTGGTGAATTTGCCACGATGTGCTAACTGACCTGACCTCATGCTCATCCTATCATCCTCCACTAGTGCCCCGCCAGCGTATACCGTTAGCGGAGGCGGGTGCACCATCCCATTATCATCCATTAGAACAAAAGTATATATCTTATTAATATTATAAACGCGAAAGAGTGTCAGTATAGATTGATGAAAGTTTGTTACTCTTTCTTGCTAAAACTACTGAACGGATTTTGAAGAAACTTTACAGCAATATAGCTTATACATCAGAATAACAATGGCTATAATATAAAAGATGTTATTGGGTAAGTGTGATACAGAGGAAGCTGCGCAGGTCAACGTCTATTCCACACATGTACTCCATAAACGTATGGTTTAAGATTTTGTTTACTAAGATAATATGGATGGAGTAAGAAATAAATAGTAATGAAATGAAATGAAATTAACGCTTAAATGTGGTTTTACATATAAGGTTTAATCAACATATATTAGTTCTACACAATAATTTCCGATTTATCAGTTGTAGTTTTATATATAACTAGCTTTTACTCGCGGCTTCGCTCGCATTGAATCCATTCGTTCTAATCTACATGTGTACAATATTTCATAATGATCGGTTTAGTAGTTTTTGCGTGAAAACGTAACAAACATCCCTAATTTTACATGTATAATATTATTATTTTACATGGATAGTATTCACATTTATAATTTTCAATCAACATGTGTCTCAATATATTTATCTCCAAATATAGATAAATAAATACATTATAATCTTTATGTATAAAAATTACGTGTCACGTTGTTTGTCCGCGAACTCCTAAACTTCTGAACCGGTTCATTTTGGCCCAACTTGAAAGATAGGACAGTTTACATGTCAATTTATAGTTGCCAATAGTATTGTATTGACGAACTTTAGCCACAACAACACGCGTGCTAGTAATACATAAGTAAATTAAAATAGTGAAAAACACTCACCGATCTTTCGTTGACAAGCTGACGTGTTACACCAGCCAGTAACTTGACCAAATTCTCGTCACCTCGTTTACACGCCCAGTGCATCGCGGTCTGAAAACCAAATGATCCTACATTGATTACTTGCTATAAACATTACGACAGTTGTCTAGTGGCGTAGCACAGCGATTCACGTCTGATGGTCGCGGGTTCAATTCTATGGTACATTTGTTTCATGAGTACTATTGTTAGTATTAGGTTTCTATGTATATTAAGTATTTACAAAAAAAAAATTGTACCTACATCAGTAGTCTAGTACCCATAACACAAGCTCTGCTTACCGTGGGACTAGATGGCGCTGTGTAAATTGTCCAGGGCTATTATTTTTATTATTACACTAGCTGTTCCCGCGACTTCGTCCGCGTGGAATTTTACTTTATTTATCCAATTTAAAAGAATTCTTCTAAAATAAAAGTAGTCTAAGTTACTTCCTATTACATCAGCTATCTACCAAAAAAAGTCCCTTCAAAATAGGTCCAGCCATTTCAGAGATTAGCCGGAACAAACAGACCGACAGACAGACAGACAAAAATTGTAAAAAATGGTATTTTGGTGTATGTACCGTATTTATATTTATATGCATGTTGTAAAAAACGGTTATTTCAAACAGACACTCCAATTTTATTTATATGTATAGATGATACAAACTACAAAAATATTACAATTTATGTTTTAAAATTTACTACCTTACCACTGATACTTAGTCTATATCACATTTACTTAACATTTTTTTTTTATTTATTTAAACTTTATTGCATTGTACAATAGGAGGGCTTAAAGCTAGCATTCTCTACCAGCCAACGTTAGGGAGTACAGAGATAGTCGATGGCGGTTTAAAGAAAATACAAATATATTAAATAGATATACATATTATAAATAATGAAATATGACATATAAACACATAATATATATTATAAACAAACTACACATATAAACTATTAAACACATATTACAGTACTATGAGATACGAATTAAAAGATATTCATTAACTCTTTTTTTAAAAGTATATTTAGAAGAAGTGCACGGATTATTATGTCGCCCATATGTTTGTACCGTGCGAGGAATCGAACCTGCGGCCATCGGAAGTAAAGCGGTGTTCTACACAGTTAGACCACCAATAACATTCATCATTATATCGCCCAACATGTAATATAAACTCAATCATGAATATAAATGTTTGTACCGTGCGAGGAATCGAACCTGCGGCCATCGGAAGTAAAGCGGTGTTCTACACCGTTAGACCACCAATAACATTCATCATTATATCGCCCAACATATAATATAAACACACTCATGATTATAAATGTTTGTATCGTGCTAGGAATCGAACCTGCGGCCACTGGAAGTAAAGCGGTGTAAACCGCTTGACTACCGAGGCCTTCAACATATATATATAATAATTAGGATTAAAACTTATTAAAATGATCACGGTAAAAATACCACGAAAATATTGTATAACAATTTTTAGAATTAGAATCAATTCTACATTAGATATTAGAATTAATTCTAACAAATTATCATATAATTATAATAATAACAATCTCAGGACAATTCACACTCGCCATCTATCACAAGCTTTAGCTAGCTTAACTTAGGTAGTTAAGCTAGCTAAAGCTTGTGTTATGGGTACTAGACAACTGATACAAATACATAGATTTTTTTTTGTAAATACATACATATTATACATAGAAAACACCCAGACCGATACAAACAATCATACTCATGAATACAAATGTTTGTGCCGTGCGAGGAATCGAACCCGCGGCCATCGGTAGTAAGGCATTGTGCTAAACCGTTAGACCACCGAGGCCGTCAAATAATTCGTTAATTATTAATATTAAATCGTAATTAGAATAAGTATTGTCGACTTATTAGAGATTCTAATCCTAATTCAAAAATATCTATAACCTTATAACACCAAACAGAATCACGAAAGAGTTTTTAGTTTGAGAAACAAATTGCATGATTGTAGCCCTTTTATTTTTATATATGTAAAACATTTTGATGGACAATATAATATCGAAATTATAGCTCCACATAATCGAAACGTATTAGCGTGATTTGCATCCAGATTAAAGATTATATTTTATCGGAGGTATGTGTTATTAGCATAGTTATATGAATTAGCTTACTATCATCAATGGCCATTTTAAAAAACGTTATGCTAAGCATAATTTTACAGAACCGGTGTTTAGATAAAGAATTAAATATGAACCATGTTTAGTGAACGCGAGTTTATCTTGTACGTGAGCTATTAATAGTACCCTAATTTTAGATTAAGCCACTACATATTGTATAAGTAGTACTATTCAATTATTTAATAGCTTTTTTATTAACTATGAGTTACAAGTTGTTCAGTAGTTAACTATTAGGTACGTAAAATTCAACGGCAATTGACATGTAAATTATCAATGATCTTTTCATTTAAATTGTGTTTAATGTCATTTATGAATGGACGGGCTCGGTGGTCAAACTGTTTAGCACACAGTTTTACTGCTGGTGGTCGCGGATTTGATTCCTCGCACGCTTGCCATTTGTATTCAGAAGTATGATAGTTTTTACCAGTCTGGGTGTTTTCTATGTATATAATATGTAGGTATATATTTATGAATAAATATATATTTATGTATTTGTATCAATTCTCTAGTACCCATAACACAAGCTTAACTTGGTTCTAGATGGCGCTGTGTGAATTGTCCTAAGATTATTATTATTATAAGAGTCTGTAATAGATCTACATAAATAAAGATATTTAGATTTCATTGATGTCATTTATATCATCGTAATCCTAATGAAACTTATAACATAACAAGCTACTCGCCCCGTCTTCGCACGGCTGTACATAATAATAATAATAATCATCATCTCAAGACAATTCACACAGCGCCATCTAGACCCAAGTTAAGCTAGCTAAAGCTTGTGTTATGAGTACTAGGTAACTGATATATATACATAGATGTATATATTTTTGTACATACATACATATTATACAAAATACACAACGCCCAGACCGATACAAACAATCATACTCATGAATACATATGTTTGCACCGTGCGAGGAATCGAACCCGCGACCATCGGTCGTAAAGCGGTGTGCTAGACCGCTAGACCACCGAGGTCATCAAATATGTATGTACATGTATACATGTATTATATATATAAACCTTCCTCTTGAATCACTCTATCTAGTAAAAAAAATGGCTTCAAATTCCGCTGCGTAGTTTTAAAGATTTAAGCATACATAGGGGCAGATAGCGACAGCGACTTTGTTTTATACTATGTAATGATCTATGTAATAATGTATCGGTATCTACATATCCGCTGGATTATGATTTCTGATCAGTTTTAAAGAGTATGGCTCGTTCTAAACAATATTATAATTTTGAGTCCTCAAAGTAATCCATAACATTGGCAGTAAAGAATTTTCACATGGAAAGAGTGCGTGCTTCTATTTCTGTCTTAACATTTAAAGGTGATGATGTGATAATTATAAGATATGTCCAATATTTCATTATTATTATTATATTATTAGAAGGAAAATGCCAGACAGTGTAATTACACTGATCAGTACAGAATCAGTAAAGTTATTTGTGAAGTTTATCTGGAACCTGAGGCAAAGTGCCCTTACATTTCTAGGTGGACATTGTATTAAATATTTACATCCTTTTCTCTAAGAAGTTTAAGAGATATTATATTATTAGATCGAAGAATATAAACGCAATAGTTTCAAAAACAAAAATGTTTAGACGTATCTTTTAATTATTACCAACTGTATTAAACATATCAACCTTCCTCTCACTCTATCTATTGCTGAAATTGCATTAAAATCCGTTGCGTAGTTTAAAAGATCTAAGCGGACAGATAGGAGGAAAGGACATTGTTATGGACTGTTGATCTTATTACTAGCAAACTACCATGTCAGGTTGACCTACACGCGGTTTCCCTTGGAAACCATCGTGATAAATTCTTATTGAATTTGTCAAAATCCGTTGCGTAGTTTTAAAGATTTAAGCATACATAGGGACGGACAGAGACTTTATACTTTATTTTTTATCACCGTTTAAACCTTCCCTGGACGTCCACGAATATTTCAAGACTAAAGTTAGCCAAATCGGTTCAGCCATTCTCGACTTTTAGCGAGACTAACGAACAGCAATTCATTTTTATATATATAGATACATATATATATTTTTGTTCTGTTTATATTTTGTTGCATTTTGTTTATGTTTATAATTTTTCACCGCCAACAATTATTCTCTGCACCACCTATGGTTGACTGGTAGAAAATGCCGCATGGTGTTAAGTCCGCCAAATGTACTATACTATATATTATATTGTGTGCATTAAAGTTAAATAAATAAATAAATATATCACGTATATGTGATTATACAGTTTCCACAAAATAGGAGGTAAGTATAGGATAAGGCGGCAAGTCAGCAGTTTAATTCGTACAATTTGATCGAGGGTTAGATAGCAATCGGAGTTTGAACAAGGTGTAGGCGTGCTCCTCGCTGATTCAGTCGGGCGGTTAGAAACGTCCTGGGTTCGACGTCGCCAGGAGAAATATTGGCCCCGAGGGATGCGCTGTTAATTTGCCCCCGCACACTGGGTACTGTTACTACGTACCTCGTATATAATTATACATATATATGTGCGGTTTACGTCGATTGGTCGGTTATCCACATAGAGACATGTAGAATTCATTATTGCTCCTGGTACATTATAATTAACATTATATTAAAACGTGAAACAAAAACTTTTTACGCATATTGCGCGGACGGATGAGTATGAAATTTCGCACATTTATATTTAATAGTATACTTTTTATTGTATACTAGCTTTTGCCCGTGGCTTCGCTTGCATAAATTATCCCCTAAGGGGTGGAATTTATCAAAATCCTTTCTTAGGGGATGCGTACGTCATAGTAGCTTTATGCATGCAAAGTCTCAGCCCGATCGATTTAAAATTGACAAAGTTTCATACAAATTTTCATCCCCTATTTTATATCCTTGGGGGTAGAATTAATCAAAATCCTTCTCAGCGGATGC